CTGAAGTTAATTTTATTGTATAACTTATTATGTCTTTTTCTTGAAGTTAAGGCGGTTATCGTGATGTTGACTACATCACCCATTGTGTGTCCGTTGACGTTTAAAAATATCAATCTCAAACGCCCGTTACTGACCTGAAAAGGCTCTTTCACTTGATTTTTATTTTTTTTTTTTACAATTTTTCCTATACTCAATCCGGCATGTTGCCATATGCTACACATTGCTTTCTAATTTATTTTTACTACACATGTTATAGTTTGTTTTCCGTTTGTTCTTACATGCAGGTGAAGAATATGTTCACGCCCAAGAGAACCCTGGCAATAATCAGCAGCGTCTTCATCATTCTCATTGTCAGCGAGATACCCATCTACTGTGTCTACGGGCTGGCAAGCAAATTTTATCCAGAGAAAAATAAAACACTAATAGGTTTGATATCTACTAAAGATCGTTACATTGTTGACAAGGTGACTTTCCCCATCAACAACATTTTCGTTCCTTTATCTGCCTTTGCCACCGTCTCCGTTAGTACAACCATATTGGTTTATGAACTCAGGAAAAAGGCAGCCTGGCGGAAAACGGTTACAAGAGACTCTTGCTCTAGTTCCTTGTCCAATCGTGATCAGAAAATAGCCAAGATGGTTGTGATGATCTCCGTGTTGTTTATCGCCTGCTACCTCCCGAGTGTGATGAACTTTCTGACCATGTTGATCCAGCCGGAGTTTGCCATAGACGGCAAGTACAAAAGTATATTTCTGGTCATGTTTGGTTTGTGTTTCACATTGGAGGCCACCAACTCCTCCATGAATATATTCATTTACTACAGCATGAGCAGTCGGTACAAGACTGTGTTTCGACAGATCTTTCGTCTCTCTGACATCAATGATCTACAGTGAGTTTTTTCAATTTTTTTTGTTTTTTTGTTTTGTTTAAATAATGATGTGCAATTTTATAGATTAAACATAATCAACTGTTTTAATACATTAAAGACGATACATTGTGGTACCGATACCCGTGTTTATTGTTGGTAATTATCGGAGTTCACAACTTCTTACGGTACTTAACTAGCACCACTCTGGCTCTTGCCAGGTGCCGCAATATAAGCCCGGCCATAAATATCGTCTAATGGCTGAACGCGGTTTTGGGACCTCTCCACTCGTGATCCTCATCCACATGGTGGTACTTTGTGCCATCGGAGTTTTTATCGCTTGTGTGATGTCCTAGTGGGGTAAAATGTACTACTGCTACTTCTCACGGTGAGGTGTAATGTTGTGTATTGTTATATATAAGACATCGTGTGTTTACTAAGCAAACAGGTGTAATTTACAAACGGACAGTTTTGTATACTTACTGACTATTAAAGATGACAGGTTATTCACGAAGTCCACATTTCATTGTATTCAGAAGAGGGGATTATGTTTGTGTTGATGTTACTCTTTTTGAACTTAACAATAATACACTAAATGGTCTGCCTCTCTGTCGATCTGTCGGTGCCTTGCGTACAAAAAAAAAATATTGATAGGTACACGTCTTTAAATTGTATTAGAGGCCTGCTTTGACGTTTTCTATCCATCTTGAAATTAGCTTAGGTGATGGTCGCAGGAACTATACCATCATTGAACCTCGTAGTGGGTCCTAGCCATTTGAGCTTTGAAGAATAAACATTGAGTATTGTTCAGTAATAACACATTTTTACTAGTAAACTGTGTTACCTTCTCCCACATTTGTATCGCAATGCCCTTCAATACAATCTTTTATTGTACATGTTAGAAAATTGGACAAAATAACAAACGTGGCAGAATATATTTTACAGTTTTATTCGTTTAACATCGTGAAACGATTCTTCGAAGTCCGTTCATGGAGGACGTCAGTCGATATCATCGGTTAAACAGTGAAGCTGACTTCGCCATCCTGAAAATAACAGAAATAACCTTTGCCTCAGATAATGTTTTTATATATGTGTTTATCGCGTGTTGACCTTCGCAGTAATATGCATCTAATGTTTAAATAAAACTAAACTAACTATTGTTAAATTGAACCCGGGGTGGGAAAATTGTGGCGCGCAGACCAGAAATGGGTAGCTGAGCAATGTTTACTGACCAGCCAGTCTAGTGTCAAATTAAAATATATCTTTACTTTAGTAATATGATTTCTGCAAATAGCCATCTTGAATAGACACATTTAAGAATATATAGACGGGTTTTGGTGTCTGTGTCTTGAGAAACACGGAGAGAGCGCTTATAATCTTAGATTATCCCAACAAAAATATCATACTACGAAGAAATCCGGGCGTAATGTTTATTAATAATTTTTTTTTTCCTATGTGACAATAAGTTAGTAATTCTAAATTGGTCCGAGAACAAACAAAATAATTTTTAAAAATTGCTCACTCCTTATTTAAACACTTTAGCTTCTGTTCCTCTAGTTATGTCACATGGTTTTAAAGATATCGGATACAACATGTATCGCTTAATTAAGGTTAAACGTATCTGAGTATATTGAACAAAAAGAGTAACAGGCATTATTGGTTACTATATCACTTTAGGAAGGTAAACTTTTTTTTGGGGGGGGGGGGGGGGGAGGGGCGCTCTAGAAACCATTTGTTGTAAACATTTTGGCTCAGTACTATAGATATAGAAACCCTTCGAACTTGAGTCCATGATAAATACCGTACATCTGGAAAATATGTCGCTTTTCTGCCTACCCCCTGAGGATAGAGGTGGACCATAAGGAGTTCGTCACCCAGTCACTGCGCAACTGGTTTAACAAACTTAGCTAGCGCTCCGGGCAGAAGGGAATTAATGAATAAAAGTGAGCACATAAACAGGGTACCCATTGGCAACTCTAGCAAGTGCCTAACACGTTTACTGTGAGCATATTTCTGGATTGTACCAGGACTGTTTTGTTTACCAGTTTTTCGAATGTTACAGTGAGGGAGGGAGTCGTCGTGGCAGAGAGGCTAGACGCGTGCCGCGGATCGGAAGGTTGTGGGTTCGCTCCCTGGCGGAGCCGGACCTTTCTTCAAAAATGACCTTGGCACCCAGGTCGACCCAGCCTTGAGTGGGTACCGGGTGCATTCCCGGGAAGTAAAGGCGGCCGGCGTGATGCTGACCACATCACCAATCTTGTGCCATTGGTCTATAAAAATATAGGTCTAGCCATATATGCCCTATACGCCTAAAGGCGTGGAAAGGGTCCTTTACTTTACTTACTTACTTACACTGAGGGATTTTTCATTTCATCTTTACTTGGCTGAAATGACTGTAGTGAAGATGAATCCTTGACTACAACTGGGACATGAAGAACACTTCATGGCCAGAGCGTAGACATGAAGACAACGAGAGTTGACTTTGATAGAAGACTACCGGTTCGTTGTTGCAGATAAGCATGGGTTAAAGCATAAGATTGTTATTGGTTTCTAGGCTAGGTTTCCAGACCCATTCCCCTCACAACTTGACTTTAGGTACATGGTTCTATTGCCCAGGTACCGAGTTATGTTATTGGTGTGACAATGTGAGTTGGAATTCAATCTGCATTTTTTCTTCTTCTTCTTCGACGAGGTAATGAACTACACATTGGAAAATAGCAGGGAGCCTGATGCCACATAAACGGTGACATCCTTATCCGCTACTGATGTGTGGGTTGCTGGTTTTGTCATGATTGCGGCTTCAGTCGACTATGAATTTCCATTTAACATCCCGAACTTGTTGAAAGTATATGAGTTCCTTGTGCAGTCTATAAATGTTTCCTTCGCTAGTCTGTATTTGACTATTGTGTGTATGTTTTTTTTTGAATGTAAGTTCTTCTGCACCACTGCAAGCATGTGGTAAAAGGTAGCTGCTTATGAGTTTTTCTTTGAAGTTGGATGCATCTGCCTGAGAGGCGAGGCAATCAACAGTCTACATGCAAATAAGTCACATAAGAAAAACCAAGGTGCGCACAAAACTTAAGTTCTAGAACAAGACCAATTTTCAGAAGTGAACGAACAAACCGAATCTTCAATCCGAGGCTAGAGCCCCTGAACACCAAGAAAAAGAAGAAAGTGACCTATCGATACACATATCGTTCGACTGTCTTTGACATTGGCACGGAGCTACGGTGTTTCGTAGCCTAACAGCCAGAATGGTGATTAATGACGAACTGCTAACGAAATTGACAGCAAGACATGTATCCGTTAAACAGGTAAAGCATGTAAAGTGTCATGGTATTTATGACATCATCAGTGCGGAAGGAGAATAACCCATAATGCAATCAAGTGTAAAATACCCTTTTAAATTATAATACAAAATACTGGATGAACAATCTGAGATATGTTTCTTTCTTTCCATTGACGTCAGAAATGTAGCAGGGTATTATACATTATTGGCACTATAATATAAATTAACCATGGAATTGAATAAATACATTCGTAAAATCTGTGAACTATAACTCCTAAAGATCTGGTTTTCTCTGTGACTGACATACACCCGAGAAGGTAAATGATATACTAACTATTCACAACATTATTGGATTACGTATTGACTGGTACAGACAATTGCACTCTTCTGGTCACGCTATTGGCGAGGAGAAACATATCATAGCCTCATAACTCAGTGGTATGTAAGAGTAAGCTTATCACACGCTTTAAATACTGAATAAGTCAGGAACAGCACGGGTGACGATAAGCATCAACACAGATAATAAACTTCACATTCTCTACAATAATAATACTCTCATTTGTATACTGAGGTGCTAATCTTACGGCAGGCTATCAATGACGAAAACAATGGTCATAAAAATGTGTTAAATGAATATTCAATCAAACTTCGTAAACGCGAATTCCAAGCGACCGAAAAAATCACGAGTTCATGATAAACAAATTAGGGCTAACTGTGGACTAATGTATGTATTACGAATAATACTACCTTCCTGAAACCAAAATTGTATTTCTGTCAACCTAATGTTCGTCCTAATGGGGTTTATGTTAAAGAGGTATTACTGTACACTAAAATATAACTTACTGGTTACTGAGCTTTCCAGTTCTGTTCGGCGCAGTATTTATCGCAAGCAGATACGTGTTCAGGCGTGGAAAGACGTTTACACAAGGGACACAATTTGCTCGTCTCGTGTTTCCTAAATTCGGCATATATCTCCCTGAAATGCAAAAATCAAACAAGTGGCAGAAATACAGTCTCGGCGAAATTGTGGTAATATGTCTTTGAGAAAGGAGACATATGTTTAGTAAAAGTATACAAGCACACGATATTATCTGTATAAAGCATGAGAACAGAAAAAAAAAAAAAAAAGTTGAAAGACAGAAACAGACAGATACAGACACAGTTGATGTCATGTTCAGATAGATAACTGTATTAGTACTAATATCCAGTTTCGTCGTTTTGTAGGACGTAATTTTTTTGTTATTTGAAGCCCCACCCTGGCTTTCGCCAGGGGCCGCAATATAGGCAGGCCATAAATATGGCCAATTGTCTGAACGCGGTTTCTGGGACCTCTCCACGGCGATCCTCATCCACATGGTGGCACTTTGTGTCATCTGGTGTTTATCGCTTGTGTGATGTCCTGGTGGGTAGAAAGTCAGTCAGTCAGAACTGTATTTTACAAAACATTAATGACGAAGACTTAAAATGATAACCACCACCGAGTGCAGAATAAATTAAATATACGTGATGC